ACACACACACACACACACACACACACACACACACACACACACACACAGACATTCCTTATATTCTTCCTTTCATGAACCCACATCCAGAAGCTCTTTGACTCCTTCAAAGTTCTCACCATACTACAAATAAGTAGTCAACAGTGTGCTGTCACTCATACCTGCTTTGTCATTTGCTGCAAAGGAAAGTGACTCTGATAATCCAACTTGTGCTGAATGTTCTCATCTATATACCTCACATGCTGAGCTAGTTCCACTAACATTCTCAAATATTTGTTTGTTCTCTAGACACATCATCTCTGCCAATGTTCAAAGGGACTCTTATAACTACGTAGTCTGTGAAAAGGTTTTGATGCCAAGCAATTTTTTTCACTTAATACCAAGCTGCATTTCACAGCATCTCACTTATTTGATTCCCATTAAAAACCAAACACTGCCATTTCCGCAGGCCATTACATTTTTCAAAGACCATCTTTTCTGTGTACCAGTCATGGCTAGTTTTATTTTGGTGCCTTGGGATAGGACTTTTTCCATTAGCATTCTTCCTTTGGAATATTCCTTGGGGAGAAAAGCCTATGCTTTTTTATTAAAATACTCAATTCTGCTTTTCGTTGTTTTGTTTTTAATGTACAAGTTCATTTTCCTCTTATTTTTGCTGTAAGAAAAATGGCAATAAACATATGGTAGAAAGCAGTAACCATTTTATTTCAATGTTAAGAATACATCAGGCAGTGAGGTGGGGGTGCTCACCATATTTTTTCACAAAAGCACCCTCCTGCCTCTCAGTTTGGGGCATGCCAACCAAGAAAGAATATTGACCTTTGTTGTCAGTGTTTACTGAAAATCTGAATTTTTTTCAGAAAACAAGAAATTCCTTATGTGTTTAAATGTCAGTAACTCATTCAAAATTTATTAGAAGACCAAGTTGGTCAACTCCATCCAAGTGAAGTGGAAAAGTCCTGCAAGCTGAGGTCAGCTGTGGGCTGTCCATCGCAACCTCTGCAGATAGAGAGCACACTCAGAAAACCATTCAGACACTCTCAAAGCCGAGCATGTTTGTGAAAGCTTGGAGTATCTCACTAGCATGTTGGCTAATGTGAGATTTCTCAGCTGTAAACATGGATAATAAAATTGCCTTTTGAGTCTGTCAAATGATTCGAGAAAAAAATATCTTATTATACTATGTAGCGTCTAGAAGGTTTGTCCCAGCGGTAGCTGTGACTGATACAGTGAAGGGCAGAACATTAAGTTTCCAACAGCATTCCTTTCATGCCCTGTAACTATTAACCCAGGTCTCCCCCTCTGCACTCATGTTTCAACCCGTGGCTGGATGGTCTATATACAGCTCATTAGCATACTCACATCCTCCACCTACTTGTTTTCCCAAGTTCTGATCTGTATCTGAAATGCCTATCCCATCCCTCTCTGCTCCCTTTAGACTCAACCAAGGCGTCACCTTCTCTAGGAAGTCTCCATTAGGGCTTTCCCCTCAGGCCTAGGTAGAGCGCCCACTGTCATAGTGCCTGTGTCTGCCTCAGTTAGAGCATTTATCAAGATAAACTGTTAACTGTGAGCTAAAGACAGGAACTGTAACGTTCACCTCGCTATCCTAAGCATGTGAATGTTATGTCTTTATCTGATATACTTAAGGCTCAAAAATAAAGTAGATAAAGAAGAGACGTGCTGGATAGCTTACTGGAGATGATCATGGCAGGTGCTTGCCCAGCGTTTTGCCTTACACATGCTGCTGGCTGTACCTCCTTCCTTTGCCTTCCTTGTCCTCGCCCTAGCTCCTCCTCTGCCTTCGCCCAAAGCCAACAGAGATTTACCAGAGCAGATCATACACTGAAGGTACATTAAATGTCACCACCCGGGTCTTGTAAACAGAGCCTGGCAGAGTGTCTTGAAAGAGAACGGAAAATACAAAACAAAGTCTTGTTGGAGGCAAAGGCAAGAAACGTAAGCAAAGGTCAGGCTCACTTAGACTGCATACACTTCCTTGAGCTCACTTTCAGAATAGACCTTTTAACTGCAGAAGAGGAAAGAGCTGTGTAGCCAAGGTGAGCTCCATAGCACTGACTTCAAGTGCATCTGTTCTTACAGCAGAAGCAAAGTTTCGTGTAGAGCAGGGCTGCCTGCCACAAGCATCCATGGAGGCTTGAAGAAACACTCTCCCCCCAAAGGGACCAGCTCTCTCTGGACTATTTAGGAAGTTGGGGGAAGGAGCTACACAACAGGCTGCATGGGGCCTCTTCTAGCCACATTTGTGAACTGTCTGTTCTGATATAAAAGTCCCCTCTTATTAGGTAAATATGAGAAAAATGGCTACAATTAATGCACAAATGTTTACTCTTTTCCAGGAACATGGGTGACATTCGGAGGTCAAATTTCAGATGAGGTAAGCCACTTTTAGCTTCTACAGATCTGATGAGGAAAATGTGCAATAGGGATATTCCTTTTTATTTTTTATTTTTTGGAGTGTGTGTGTGTGTGTGTGTGTGTGTGTGTGTGTGTGTGTGTGTGTCTGACTGTGCTGCCCAGTCATTAGATAAGGCTAGCCTAGAAGCAGATCTTGGATGAGGTGACTCCAGCCAGGCCTAGTTTGAGGGGGTTGGCAGCAGAAGGTCTTTCAACAGTCACTCCCAGTAGCTAAGGAAGAAGGTCCTCCCTCCCTACAGGAGGACTTCGGTGCACATCAAGAGACCTTATGCCAAACCCAGTCATACTCACAAATGAACGGTGCAACCCCGCCTGTTCTTTCCAGTTAAAACCATAAGCCGATAACAATGAGCTCACCTCCCTGGTCGTTCTGCCTTCTCTCAGACTTCCCTGTGGTCACAACGCAAAGGAGGTTCAAATGACCACACCACAACGTGCTGGGAGAGGTAATTAGCAGTGCCGCTTCAGGACGGTGTGACGTCCCTAACCCTGAAGATTTCAGCCTCTTGTTGGAGAGGTACTTAGCAGGGACATTAACAAACTTAGTACCTTGGCTGTATGCCTTTCAAATAAAAACCAAGACACATATTACACATATGAGTAATCATTTCTTGAAAACAACGCAAGCACATTTACCATCTAACAGCATGGAATTTGGGGATTTATTTCTTATTTTCTCATTTGTAATGTAGTTGGGGTAGCTTTAATAGCAGATAACACTAAGCCATGCCCACATTAGCCTAGCCAAAAAGATGGCATTCATTTTGACTTTTAAACTGTAAGTATAGGAAGAGAACATTTCTCTCTGCTCTATACAGCTCTCTGCATCAACTTCCTCTTTGGGTAACAAGAACGAAACAGTTAAGACTCAAAAAGAACAGGGCAAAAGTGCTGTTTCTAGAAATTCTGTGAAGAGGGGAAAAGTATTCCAAGAATTCTCTGCAGCATCTCATTAGTGAGACTCTCTCATTATGAGAGACCTTTCTCTCACAAGACCTTTCCCAGACATGTGGTTCATAGGCTATTAATGCTCTTGTTGAAAAAGTGAGGTCAATCCCTGATGCCTCCAGGCTCCATGAGGGAGAAGGGGATCCCTTCATAGAATCTCTTTCAGTTTTCAGAATAAAACAAAGAAACAAACAACAACAGCAACAAAAACCCTGAAAATCTGTAAAGGCCAAATGATTTGCCCAAGTTTATTTATAAACAGGAAGAGGACATGCAAGGACTGAGTTCATGTTCCATTACTATGACAGAAGACCTCAAGCAATTAACTTTTAGGAAACAAAGATGTATTTTCCTGTATTCTTTTGGTGCTATTGAGTTTGATCCTGTAGTAAGCCAGTTTGTCATAGCTGAGTGTGAAATAGAGGACAGGGGGCATCATGAAGTGAAGAGAGGCAGGATCCTAGTAAAGTAAGATCCCACTACTGAGACCTATCTCTTAAGAACTCTGCCACCTCCAAATAATGCTACAGGCTAGGGACCAAACACAGGGGCCTTTGTAAGACATTTCAGATCAAAAACTATATCAAGGCCCTAAAACTAGTACTCAGACTTAATTTAATGTTTTCCCATTATTCTATATGAGTCTTCAGATCCTGTGATTGGAAAGTCACTCCATTTCAAATCTTCTCTGTAGATGAGATGTAATTGTTACATTTCCCAAAAATAACACACCAATATGCTGTATGATGCATGATATAATTTTTACTGCAAGTATGGTAATCTGTAACACTTAGGCAATCAGAATGAGGAAAACTATATTTGCTTTACTTTTCAGCTCTGCTTCAAGATGATGTTTTAATATTATCAAATTAAAAGCAGTAACTGCTTCCATTTCTGTGGGCAATGCTAAAGGATACGCACACTAGCCTATCCGTGGTCTTGAGGGGCTAATTTCTAAAACGGCAGAAACAGTCGATCTTAGAAACGCTGCTGAAAGCAACTTTAGTCCACCATCAAAGAACAAAATGGAAAATCAATTGTAATGATTTGAGAAATAGGAAGGATTTCAAACCTCTAATAAGTTAATCAGCAAAGTGGAAAAAGACTCCTCCTCTGCTCTATACTATGCTACTACTGCTATCCCTCAGGCTGATTGCTGCAGACATCCCTCTACTCTCCTGCCACTCTTCTCACACTGAGCAGCTCATAGGATGGAACAGGAGCTCTGGTCTGTGCAGCCTAGGCAGAGAGGAGCTGGTCCCTCGGAGTTCGGGGGGAGAGGGGCCTTGCTCCCGCCCGCTGTGTTGACTCAGCAGCAGCTCCGAGATGCTACTTACTGTTCCGTTGAACTGCGGGTGGCAGAGGCTTTACAACAGTCCTGATTGTCTGGCCTGTGATTCATCAGCACAGTTGGCGAGGCCTTGAGGAAAGTCACAAGCTTTTAGGTCAGGAGTCATCCAACTGCCAGAAACTATTGGCTTGCAGAAAGGAGTTGAGAGATGGAGTCAGTGTTGGTACAAATGGTCCTCTTTGTCAGCAAGATTAGATGTCACAGAGGGTGACACGGTCTTCCCAGCAGGGTGGGAAACACAGATCTGAGCGCCTCAGTGCGCTGTGGGCAACCAAACACAAGCCTTGAGAAGTGGTATTACAATGTACTCTGTATCCGAGGCGAGAAGGTTCACCTGCTCTACGCTTGCGTCTTCTTTCTTTCTTTTGTCACTCACAGCAGCTGAGAAAAACAGGAGTGGTTAATGGGATCTCAGAGAGAAAGGCATTGAAAGGGTTTGGCATGGCTTAGGAAGCTGCCCAGGTTTCTGACTGACCGTTGCGTCCTCTTGCAGGTTGCTGAACGGCTAATGACTATTGCCTATGAAAGCGGAGTTAATCTCTTCGACACTGCCGAGGTCTATGCTGCTGGGAAGTAAGTCAGAACCGGTTTCTGTCCCTCACATGGCATCCATGGAACCAAAAGGGTGTGCCCAGACATGGCAGTGTTGGTGAGGAGGGGCTGCTCCTCTTGGGCACATGTTGGCAGGCGCACTCTTTCTCAGCCGTCCCCATCACTAGACTTGGGAGTGTTGAGTCCTAGGACCCTACCCAAACCATTCCTGTAAGAAAAATGGGCTGAAGGGTGGGAAATGCAAGAAAAATGGGTGCTGGAGAAATGACAGTTGGGGACAGACAAGTTTTAGGTGATTATTTGATATCCTTTCCCTGTGGTGCTCTTCATGAAAGCTGTGGTTCCTAAATGATACCAAGAAATCAACAACTTTTGCAAGAGGGCACTTGAAAGCCTACTCACGCTGAAGACAGCAGGCCAAGGAGAGACCCTGCTAGTGTTGACGAGTGATTTCTAAAGATTTCCCTCGGACCAAAGTATTGTTTTGGCACTCTAAATATGGCCTGTTAAGTCAGGACACGTAGCTGATGCTCTGTCAGGCCAGATCACCAAGCAGAAGCACAGAGCTTGACTAGTGTATTTTAGAATAGGCATTGAGCCCTGCTCTCCTGGAACAATCATGGGTGTGCAACTTCAATCAGCAAAGGAAGAAAACGTCCCTGCTGGCCTCTCAGGGGACAGTTGAATACGGCCACAGCAGGCCGGCTGCCCCTCCCTTAGGAAAGTTACAGTAGCTTGCCCAGTGGGTTCCAATGATCTAGGAGCACTTTTCTTACTTGGTTTCCCCTTTTTCACGAGCCTGTATTCTGTGTAAAGACCATCAGAGGACTTGGGCATCCACATCCCTGTTGTTTATAATGAAGCCAAGAAAAGAAAGTAGGCATTGTAAGGCCATGCTGCTTTTTACACGCCCTCTTCTCAGGCAGTTTCCTCTGCTGAGTCTTGCTCAGCACCAAACAGGCTAAAGGCAGAAAAAGGGGACACAGTAAATCTGCTAGAGACCTGTTTGTAACTTCCGCTGTGAGGGATAGCCATTTGAATCATTGTTGATTTATGGCCACTGTGGAATTGGGATAGGGTCCCACTATCTAAAGGTACATGAAACAGGAGGCAAACGAGGAGAAATGAAAGAGACTCTGGTGCCATCCAATGTCCATTTGGAGCATGCTCCACAGGTAGCCAGCACCATCATTTCTTGGGGGCTGTGCCCTCTGATAACAACTCTTATTTACATCAGGTAATAGCAATGGCATCGTCTCTGGCTCTGTGATGAGCAAAGCACGACCTGCATGAACCTCCCCATTCCAATCTCAGGGAGACCCACTGCTTCTCCCACTCAGCATCTTACTGGGAAGGATGTAGAACATTTTAGCCTCCTCAATCCTAATAAATCTGCCCGGGGAAGCAGAAGGGGAAAGAACAACAGGATGTCTTCAGCACACCTTTCCACAGCCCTACTTCAGGGACAGGAAAGGTCTTTTGTAGTGTCTCCTCATATCTTAGTCCTAAGACAAACCCTTCTCAGTGCTAGGACATTCTCATATGGACCACTATAACTGCAACCCTGGACTTGAGGACATCTGAATGCACATGCAGATTATTTCTTTGCTTCCAAGATCACCTGGGAACCAATATTTTCTGTTAAAGCAGTCTGCAGTCTCTTGTCATCTGGGCACAACTGAATTGTTCCACCGCAATAGAGGGTAAACCTGGACTCTCATTACACACCACCAAGTGGGATATTTTTATGTGGGAACAAGCTGCCAGATGACTCCTCTGTTTCTTCTGTCAGGACCACAGGCAATCTCCTGCCAGCGCCAGCATTTGGCAGGTGCTTCTGGAATGGCTGGGAGCAGGATTCTGCGGGCACAAGCAGAAACAGTGGAGACTGTGCAACCAGCTGAGAGCGCTTCTATTTTGGGGATCTGTAGGCACTGAGAGTTCAAAAACGGGTTGGCTCTCGGGTTGGCTTGACTCTTGCTTTTCTGAGACACTGCATCCTAAGATATTGTCTGTTTCCCCCTTCAGGGCTGAGGTGATTCTGGGGAGCATCATCAAGAAGAAAGGCTGGAGGTACCACATCTACCATAACCACTTGTTTGCCTTTTAAAGACTTACTAATATGCACCAGAAAAGCAAAAAATAAAATCACATGGTACTGGAACAAAAGGTTGTCCAAAACATAATCAACACTTGGTAAAGAAATAATCTTCAATGGTTTGGAAATAAATGCCAGGAGTCTGTTACTTGAACTTCGAATTTTACATAGCCATTGACTACAGGGAATCACGGTGCAGTTGAGCAGAGATAAAGAGACTGTTTATGAGATTATTTGTGCATAAAGGAAGGTGGCATTTTCATAGCTTTGGCTGCATTTCTAATTAGCGAAGAAAGAGCATTACAGGAATCTATGTAGACACATAGATTTATGCTCACCACTCATTTTATTAACAACTCTCTGTATAAAGATGAAGCAAACAAAAAAAAGCCCTTAGGATAATTGCCTAAAGTTTTCTCACCTGGATACAATTGCCAACATCTGTCCTGGGTGCCAGGCCCTCTGGTTTCTGTGTATTCAGAGAAGTGTCTGCTATCCCTGAGAGCATCAAAGAGTGTGCTCACCCCTCCCTTCCACCAACTCTATACCCAAAGCAAGTGGTAATGAGGGTTGCATGGCTTTTGGGCTGTCGTGCAACACAGCACAGCAAGACCAACAGCAAGGAGAAGACTGCCCCTTGCCTGAGAAAGGAGAAACAAGCATTACCCACCCTCCTTAACCGCAGGACCCGTCATACATGTCTTGTGGGAAATAGATTAGTATGAATATTTCACAAGCCATCTTTCAGCCTTGCAAATAACACCTCGAGTTATTACTGTGCTATGAAAACATTATACTGTTTTCATTTGCCTCCAGGAGGAGACTGGTGAGGAGAGAAACCATGCCGTCCTGGCATAGAGCTTATAAAAGCTATTCAACTAGCTGGCTTGGCTTCTTGTCCTTGATGGTCATTTGCCACATGCATTGTCCAGACAGAGTAATTTCACTTCCCTGAGCCTTGACTGCCCAGACTGTAAAATGGCTGCTGAAGTGCCAGGCTGACAGAGTGAGGGGAAAGCGAAGCCTGCTGTCTTCCTGTGTTACACTCACACTATCATTCTCCACCCTGAGCGGTTGCTCCAGGAGTCTCCATGCCAGTCAATTTGCCAGGCTTCCACCTGATCTTGCCACTTGAGCATAAGTGCTAGTGTGCACACCCACGTGGGCAGACAGTGTTATAGTAGAGAGTCTAACTTAAGTGTCTGGATAGAAGGTGAAGCTTTAGCATAATATTTGCTTGGAATAATCCAAAGGGCTTATGCTCATTTTCTATAATATTCCAAACATTTTTGGGGAAGATACAAAGTGCTTGCTAAAGGAGACCTGGATCCCCTGTGCACACTGTTAGTCATCATAGACAGTGGAAGTTTGATGTATTAATCTGAAAAGTACGTAGGCCTTTTGGAGTATGTAATCCCTAAGACCTTATATTCACAGACCTTCCATTTCTGTAACTCCAATTACTTTTCAGGGAATTAGCATACTGGTATGGGCTTACTGACATTTTCAACAGATCTTTCATTTTGCCACCAAGTTGTCAGAATTGCACCCATCATTTCCCACTGGTCATCATTGATCACACATGGCTTGTGTGCCCAAGAGCTGTGACATCTGGACTGCCGCTGACAGAATTATACATGCATTGTATTTCAAACAATCCCCAAAAGTTGTAAAATCTCAGAAGATTTCATTCGAAACTGAAGTGCACTGAGCTCTGTCTGCCTCACACGTTTAAACTATAGTCCTGTAGTTCTCAAAGGATGTTTCTTGATCAGGAAGAGCAGAGTATTTGAGGCCCTTCAGTGAGGCCGTTGAGAAGGTAACAGGTTTGCTGACATGGCTTCCATGTTTCATTCCTTTACGGTAAAGTGACAGGACCTCTGGCAAGGGATTTAAACATTTCCTGGCTACGAGGCTTTAGCTCATCATTCATAATCCCGTACAGCCCGTCACTTCCGACTGCCGCTGACTGTGATGATTGCGTAATGTGATGATAGTAACGCAGAGCCACTTGGGCCCACGGTCCTTGGCAGAGAGGAGGCCTCCTCCCAGGAAACGTTCACAGGCAATCAACGTTTTGCCAGATTCTAAATAAGTGTTAATTAGTGGCTGCTCTTTTAAGCTAGTAAAGCAACTCATGCTGTAAGTCACCAACATTCTCAAGCACCATTTCTGACCTCCAAGGTCACCTCCCACTCGGTACACATGGCAACACTGTTTACAGACAGGCCGGGCAGCCCTCCTCCTGAGAAAATTATTTCCCCTTATTCCCTTCCAGTGTCTGACTTCAAGTCACTACTCCCCAGCTTCCGTTGCTCTTTCCTTTTGGTACCGCGGATTCAGAGCTCCACCTCCATCTTTTTTTTTTTTTTAATGTGAGGTACTATCACAAATCCTTCGGGTGCTATAATAATAACATGACTCTGTTCATCAACAACCCACAAATTACTCACTGTTTCTCTGTGTCTCTTTGATATACAGGAGGTCCAGCTTGGTCATCACAACCAAACTCTACTGGGGTGGAAAGTAAGTCAAATCCCTTTTATTTTTTATTTTCTATGAGATTAAAAAAAAAAAAAAAAAAAGACTGCCAATTCCTGCTTTTTTCTTTTTTTTTTTTAAGCAACCATTTTACATTTAACTCATATTAAAATTGATTGGTCTATAGTAATTATCTTAGGACTACATTTTAACAGAGATTTCCCAAAGAAATTCAGTGCATAGCAGATGGCCACTTGTTACTAAATGACTTGTGTAGATTTTTTTCAGTGTCATACTCAGAACCATTTCCAAAACAGAGTTCAAAAATTCAGAAAAGGAAAATAAAGCATCACAAAAGAAAAAGCTCCTCAAATCTGCCAAAAACTCAAAGATTTCTACGTAAGGCAAAGATAAAAATATCTTGTCTGCCTCCGTGTCCAAGCTTCTGATCATTTCTACAGAGGGTTCTGAGTTTGCTCATCAAAAAGACCAGCTCATTGGGGAGTAACAGAAGCTCACCCCGGGTCACTCACCAGCAGGACAAGTGAAAGAGCGCCATGCTGAGCTGGCTTCCCATGAACCAGCCTGCTTAGTGTTTGAACTGGTGCTTACATTATTCAGCAAAACCCAGGGGGCATGTAAGAAAGCAGCAAGCTGGTCCTTACACCAGAGCAAGGGCTGGCCCTGCGCTTCTTGTAAAAACCACAGAGATGCTGAGATTTTAACAACAGTAACAAACCAGAAGCATGCAGAACCTTGTTTACCATCCTATAATAGGTAGGGAGAACCGCCAGGGGGCTTGTGTTATGTTTGTTTGGTTTAGTTTGCTGTGTTTCCCTGTTGTTATTGTTGTTGTCATCAGTTTGTCTTTTAAACTAGGAAACCCAGGCTAGTTCTTTAGGAAGATTCTAAGCACAAGGCGTGTGTGTACACGCTCACACTGCTATGGCCCTTGAGCCTGTTAGTGATATGAGGAGTTAAAGATGGGCTTTAGACTTTTGTTCCTATTGTCCTCTTAGATAATATAGCACCTACCCATAAGAAATACAGCTGTCCATTTTCTGTAATTTGACTCGTGGTGTCCTCAATTCCTATGCTTTCAATGGTACCTGAAACCTTGCCTTGAGGGTAAAAATAATTCAGAAATGAAACCAGCCGCATGTTTTTAGAAGAAGCTGTCCAAAGTATTGATGTTTCATCTGTACTTTACAACTCAGCCCCCACATCCTTTCTACTTGCCCAGACTTTTGGGTTTTTCTGGAATGACAGAAGCTCTGTCATCAAAGGTTTGTCTTGTCCCTTTGGGTGCTGGCTTATGGAAGGTTTGTTGCATCTTTCTTTGTTCAATCGTTGTTAAATTATTTTCAATGTCAAAAGATGCTTTCAAATTTGCTTCGTTCAAATGTTTAATATCAGTAGCTTGGCCACCATGGAGTAAACCTATAAACTATGCCAAGACTATTTTTCTTCTCTACGTCAGTTCGGGACAAAGCTAGAAGGCTGAGCTATAGATTGTGTTCTCTAGTGAGTGTGGCTGATTAGAAGCTTGGCCTAGAGCTGAGTGATATCAATACCCTGGCTACACCTCTTAGGTCTCCATACATGGGGTGCTGTCCACCAGGTTTCCCTCTTCTGCAGCCAATGGTGCAGAATTTGCTGAGAACATGATAAAAACTTAGCAGTGCAGACCAAGAAAGGGTGATGGTTATTCTGCATCTTGAAAAAAGTTTTAGAAAATAAAACGGCCTTCCCCACTCAAAGTCACCTGCCTCTGTTTTGTTGCAGAGCTGAAACAGAAAGAGGATTGTCAAGAAAGCATATCATTGAAGGTGAGTGCTAACGTTTCCACTTTATTTTTGTTTGCGGGCTCCTGTTTCAAGGAAGGTATCTGAAAAATAGGTCCAAAACACCTAAGTCCTCTGCATATATGTTACAGATGAATTCTTTGGTGTTCCTGTGAGAGTCCTAACAGTGGAATGGGGTGTCCCTGACTCCTTTGCCTTTTTATGGGACCCATTTCCTTTTACTGGGTTGCCTTGTCCAGCCTTAGTGTGATGGTGTGTGCCTGGTCTTCTTGTGGCTTGCTATGCCATGTTTGGCTAATGTCCCTGAGGAGCCTGTTTTTTTTTTTGAAGGGAGGTGGAAGTGGGTAAGGGAAAGAGGGCAAAAACTAAGGGGAGGAGTAGGGGGAACTGCTGTCAGGATGTGATATATGAGAGCAGATTTTAAAAATACACATTGGAAAGGGAAAAAAAATATTTATGAAAAAAAAAATCAATCAAGTTTCTTCCTGGGTGGAGCTCAGAGAGCATAGAGACACAAGAAGACATTAGGACCCAAAAGGCAAAGGTGAATTGTCTGGCGTACTGCCGTTGCTGCTATAGTGAAGAGCAGGGATGACTGAAGAGTCTTACTGCGATGTGAATGTGTAACCACAAAAGGGCACCCACTTAAAACGTGCAGTTCCTTGGTTCTGAGTATAATTCAGATCACCGTAACTTTGTGCTCATTGGGAGCTGCCAAGGTTAGAGAGATGGCTCGGCGGTCGGGAGTGCTTCCTCCCTTCTTACAGAGGAACAGAGTGTGATTTCTAGCACCCACCCCGAGCGGCTCATGACCACCTGTGACTCCAGCTCCAGGAGATCCAGCATCCCCTTCTGGCCTCTGCAGGCACCTATACACAAGCATACATTCTCACACATATAAATAAAAAATTAGAAAAAAATAAATCTTTAGAAAGAAAACAAGTCTCTTATCATTCCTTTCCACAGTCCCAACAAACTACTTTTGCCTCTAAATATTTGACACTTCAGCACATGTTATATAAATGAGATTACATGACTGATGGTATTTTGAGGCTGGCTTCTTTCACTAGACACAGTGTTCATCCACACTAAGCATGTGTTCATACTTCACTTCTCTCTCTCTCTCTTTAAATTCTTTATCAATTACACTTTATTCACTTTGTATCCCCCCTGTGGTTCCCTCCCTCCTCCCGTCCCAATCCCTCCCTTCCTTCACCCTCTGCATGTATGCCCCTCCCCAAGTCCACTGATAGGGGAGGACTTCTTTTCCTTCCTTCTGATCCTAGTCAATTAGGTCTCATCAGGAGTGGCTGCAGTGTCTTCTTCTGTGGCCTGGTAATGCTGCTTCCCCATCAGGGGGAGGTGATCAAAGAGCAGACCAATCAGTTCATGTCAGAGACAGTCCCTGTTCCTATTACAGTGGAACCCACGTGGATACTGAACTGCCTTGGGCTACATCTGTGCAGGGGTCTTAGGTTATCTCCATGCATAGACCTTGATTGAAGTATCAGTCTCAGGAAAGACTCCTGTGCTCAGATTTTTTGGTTCTGTTGCTCTCTTTGTGGAGTTCCTGTCCTCTCCAGATCTTACTGTTTCCTAAGATTCCCTGCACTCTGCCCAAAGGTTACCCATAAGTCTCAGTATCTACATTGATAGTCTGCAGGGCAGAGCCTTTCAGAGGTCCTCTGTGTCAGGTTCCTGACTTGTTCCCTCTTTTCTCCTTCTTCTGATGTCCATCCTCTTTGCCTTTCTGGATAGGAATTGAGCATTTTAGCAAGAGTCCTCCCTCTTGATTAGTTTCTTTAGGTGTACAGATTTTAGTAGGTTTATCCTATATTATATGTCTATATGAGTGAGTATATACCGTGTGTATCTTTCTGCTTCTGGGATAGCTCACTCAGGATGATCTTTTCCAGATCCCACCATTTACCTGAAAATTTCATGGCTAAGATCAAAAACTCAAGAGACAACACAGGCTGGAGAGGTTGTGGAGAAAGGGGAACCCTCCTCCACTGCTGGTAGGAATGTAAACTTGTACAACCACTCTGGAAAGCAATCTGGTGCTTTCTCAGACAACGAGGAATAGCGCTTCCTCAAGATCCAGCTATACCACTCCTAAGCATATACCCAAAAGAGTCTCAAGTACACAATAAGGACATTTGCTCAACCATGTTTGTAGCAGCCTTTTTTGTAAAAGCAAGAAGCTGGAAACAGCCCAGATGTCCCTCAGTGGAGGAATGGATACACAAATTGTGGTATATCTACACAATGGAATAGTTCTCTCTTTCTTTTTTTTTAACAAATAATATTCCATGATGTGGACAGGCTATACTTTCGCTATCCTTGTATCAGCTAATGTACATTTGGATTATTCTCTCTTTGGGGCTATTATGAATAATTATCTAAACATTCCTGCTTCTATTACACTTTTTTTTATTTTTTCCAATTTATTCATTTTATATCCCAATTGTAGCCCCCTCCCTCATCTCCTCCTGGTCCCACCCTCCCTCCTTCTTCCCCCTATACCCTTCCTATAGCCCACTGAAAGGGAGAGTCCTCCTCCTGGGCCATCTGCCCATAGCTTATCAAGTCTCATCAGGACTACCTGGATCCTCTTGCTCTGTGACCTGGCATGGCCCCATAACCAGGGTGAAGTAATCAAAGAGCAGGCAACTGAGTTTATGACAAAGATAACCCTTGCTCCCCTTACTCAGGAACCCACTATTATATTTCTAAAATTATGGGGGTGGGGAGAAAGAGAGGAGGAGAGGGAAAGAGGGAGAGAGAGAGAGGGAGAAAGAGAAAGAGGTTTTCTGACCCTGGATAAATTAACTAACAGTGCCATTCTTTTCCCCCACGGAACTCAAAATTTTATTTAGATTAAAAATAAACAGGAAATAAAATTCTGCAAGAGTCATTATTTGGTAGGGTGCAACTAGTTTACTTCATTGAGAGGACTGAGTTTTGATTGATTTTTATTTATTTATTGCTTGCCTGTATATAAATATTTTTACACTTGTACATTTTGCTACAACGGGGGGAATCTTATATTTTCTTTTTTTTAATTTTTTTATTATTAGTTACATTTTATTAACTCTATCTCAGCTGTATCCGGCTCCCTCACTCTCTCCCAAACCCTCCCTCCCTCCCTCATCTTCTCCCTGCCCCTTTCCAAGTCCACTGATTGGAGAGGACCTCCTCCCCTTTGATCTGACCCTGTTTTATCAGGTATCTTCAGGACTGGCTGCAAAGTCCTCCCCTGTGGCCTAGCAGGACTGCTCCTCCCTTGGGGGGTAGGGAGGTCAAAGATCCTGCCATTGAATTCCTGTCAGAAATAGTCCCTGTTCCCCTTACTATGGGAAACCAATTGGTTACTGAGCTACCTCGGGCTTCATCCTAGCAGAGGTTCTAGGTTATATCCATCCATGGTCCTTGGTGGAGTGTCAGTCTCAGAAAAGACCCCTGTGCCCAGATATATTTGGTCCTTGTGGAGCTCCTATCCTTTCCACATCATACAAACTCCCCCTCCTTTCATATGATTCCCTGCACTCTGCTGAAGGTTTGGTTATGAGTCTCAGCATCTGCTTTGATACACTGCTAGGTAGAATCTTTCAGAGGCCCTCTGTGGTAGGCCCCTGTCCTGTTACTTGTTTTCTCCTATGTCCATTGTACCTCCCATTTGTCTTTCTAAGTGAGGATTGAGCATCTTACCCCTAGTCCTCTTTCTTGTTTATCTTCTTTAGGTATATAGATTTCATTATGTTTATCATATCTTATAGGACTATATGAATGAGTATTACCATGTGTGTCTTTCTCCTTCTGGCATACCTCACTCAAAATGATCTTTTCTAGATCCCACCATTTGCCTGCAAATTTCATAATTTCCTCATTTTTGATTGCTAAGTAGTATTCCATTGTGTAAAAATACCACAATTCTGTATCCATTCCTCCACTGAGGGACATCTGGGTTGTTTCCAGGTTCTGGCTATTACTTCATGAACAAATTATGGAAAATCTAGGACTTTTGGCCAGACCTGATAGTGTATGCCTGTAGTCCCAATGCCCGGTGAACTGAAGCAGCAAGATCACAAAGTCAAGGCTTGCTCGGTCAGCAGTATGAGTGAGGGCCAGCTTGGGAAACTTGCTGAGACCTTGCCTCAAAATATAAAATACAAGAAGGGTTGGGCATGTAGATCAGAGTTAGGGTGCTTGCCTGGCAGGTTCAAGACCTGGGTTCATTCCTAGTAAAACAGATGCAGGATCCAAGATTTTTATACCTTTATATTTATGATTTATACCTTTATATTATGATTAAGGCAGAGCATCTCTCCTTCTTTGGAAATAATTTCATTCATGAAATCCCAACATTGTCAAAACTAACTAACTAAATAAATAAACAAACAAATAAATAAATAAAACCACCACCCCCTATTCCACCACCAACACTCCCCACATCCCGGGGCCCATTTCATTCTCTCCTCCATTTTGACAGTCTGATCCATGTCCTTCACATCCTTTCCCTTCCCTGCACTAACTTGCTTATCTGGTTGGCTGGCTGGAATTTTGTGCCTGTCTTGAGCATGTAGTCACAGCCGTTTAAGTCACAGCACTCATTTAAGTGGGTATGCAGCCAGCCAAAAATTCCAGCATGGGTTACAAAGGGGCCCATGCAGTCCCATCCCTAGCTTGAGGAGCCACTTGAAGTTGATGATTGCTAGGGTAGGGAGAGTAGGTGTTCAAGCACACAGTCCCTGAAAGGTTACCCAGGCTCCAGAACATGGTCTTAGACCCAAGCACATACAGATAGCATTAAGTGAATTTGTGGGCTTTAACAGAGAGCTCATGACATTGGGAGGGGAAAGTAGTTGGGGGATAGGGAGAAAATTGGGGGGGTTGGAAGGTTGATTTGATTAAAACACAATATGCACATGTATGAATATGAAAATATAAAATGATACAATCAAGTTGTAGATAGTAACTTAAACCTTGGATCTTTTCTCAATTAAAATATATTTTACACACAAC